AAAGACTGGGCGCACTGTCCCGTGCGCATGTCCCACACGCAAGCCTTCTTATCGCAGCCCTGAGAGACGTGAGAACATGCGGGTCACTGCACAGGCATGTTAACAGCTCTATTGTGTTTGTGTGTGTGTGCTGTGCTGTATTTGTAGATCTGTGCTGCTCGAGCCACAAACTGCTTCAGATGGTTCAGTCCAATTTAGTGAATTGGTTCAAATAGTTCAAAAGAATGATTCGTTCGCAAACCAGACATTTGTCTGGACCGTTTGCCTGAGGCTCTGGATTACAGGCAATACTGTTGTGAATAATGTTTAGTTTCTTGCACAGACTGATCATTTTGCTTCATAAGACCTCAATATGTTGTCATGAGCAACGGGTATTAATTTTGCGTTCCTTGATGCCTTTTTTATTCTTAAAAACAGGCAGCCACTTACTTGCATTTTATGAATTACCAAGGACCTACACCTACATATTGGATGGCCTGAGGGTATGGAAGCCCATTTCTACCGAAAAAAACCAAACAAACTTAAATCTCGCAATTCTGTCTTTTTTTTCCTCAGAATTGCATGATACAAACTCGTGATTTTTTTTTCGTGATTGTGAGATATGAACTCACAGTTGCGAGTTAAAAAGTCAGATTTGTGAGATGTAAACTCGCAGTTCTGACTTTTTTCTCAGAATTGCATGATATAAATTCGCAATTCTTAGAAATAGTCACAATTCTGAGAAATAAATTAGAATCAGAATTGTGAAATATAAACGGACAATTCTGACATTTTTTCTCAGAATTGCGAGTTTCTATCTTGCAGTTGTGACTATCTCTCGTAATTCTGACTTTATAACATGCAATTGCGAGTTATTAAGTCAAAATTGTGAGATATAAACTCGCAATTCCGTTTATTCCGCAATTCCAATTATTCATAAGGTAATGTGTGACCATAGACTGTATAAAAACATGAACATAGTGTCCGTGACGTCACCAGTAGGTTTCTGAAGAGCGTTTTTGAAGCTCAAAGTGGGCGGAGCGGGCCGTCGCCATCTTGGCAGTGCATCACCGCACGTCACTCCCGGATAATAGAAATTGGGCAAAGAGGCGGGTTAATATAATTTAAACGGATGAGTTATAAAAAAATTCACCCCCCTCACAGTTGTCATGAAGGGTAAAATTAGCTACATAGACCAAAACCACTTTTTGTACCAGGCTGTAAATAAATTTTTTTCTGCTGTAAAGTTGGGCATTTTAACATTGGGAGTCTATAGGACTGACTCCCTTTTGGTGCCAGCCTCTAGCGGCCAGTCGATGAATTGCAGTTTTAGTCACTTCCGTGTTGGTTTCACGAGAGAGACCGGAAGGTTGCCGCTTGTGTGTGACACTAGTTTGTCAGTGGAGGGTTCGTGTGGCTTGTGTTTGGTATCAGCAGCTCAGTTCCCACCCCTGACACGAATGTGTTTCCAGTCTCAGAGGGGGCCAGATCCAGACACAGCACATCAGCCGCGTGTCCATGGAAGCTCTGCAGCATCTGACCGCTCTCTACATCCCAAAGAGCACACGTGCCGTCACCGCTAGACGTCAGGATCTAACGCAAACACAAAACACACCACAATCGGTCAAATGCAAAACACTGTTTCATTATTTCACCATGTATTCAAGCATACCTGCATATCTGAGTTAGTAAAGCAGCATGCGGACAGGTAGTTGGTGTGCATGGCCACTGATTTCTTCTTGGCGGCAAGGTTTTCGTTCTTGTCCAGGGATAGAGGGTACACAGAGCATTTATTGTCCAACCCACTGCGAAACAACGTATCAGTTAAAGGTGCAGTATGTAATATTGACAGCTAGTGGTTAAAATGTGTACTGCAGTCCAAATTTAAAACATTGGAGAGAGTTGTTTCTCCCGCCACCACTCATGCGGGTTGCCATGTAACAGGAACGAGAGCAACTGACAATGGAAGGTGAAGTTGATGAGTTAATTTATCCGTGTTTTAATATTTCTCTGGTCATAGAGCTTTTTAGATGAATTGTAAGGCTTTTTAGGTCAGGTAAAATCTGCTTGCTTCCATGGCTGCATTACGCTGTGTTTTCCTCCAACTGGCAACCCAGGGTGTTGAAATCCGATTGGGTAAATTGGTAGTGGGCGGAGTCACACAGACCAAAACAAAAACAGACACTGTGACACAGAACGCACATTTCAAAGTATAATAACTGGCTGTAGAGTAGTTTTTCTGAGAAACAAGTATGTGAACTTAGCATGTTTCCTAAATATCTGCAAACATATTATGCTATTTTTATGCTTTAGTACAGTGAAAAAAAAATTAGATACATCACCTTTAATACAATAAATCAAGTGAGCATAAAGATGAAGTTAGCAAGCAGTTCTCCACTAATATTATCTCCATATTTTTGGTTTTATACAGCAAGGATGTTTTGTATTTACTAGACTTGTAATAGCCATTGTTCACTGACGAGCTGCGCAAAAAATCGCGTGAATATGAACGTGGTTTTGCGCAGCTCATCAGTGAACAATGGCTCTGTGTAGTTAATGCTGCTCAATGTGAAAGCCCGCAGGTGATGGAGATTTACCGCTGATTACAGAACCGGCTTTACTGATAAGATGCGCATTAAATATCGCATGCGATTTATCATGCAGCCCTAGTTTAAAGTGTGTGACGTCTTTGCCAACTAGTGGCACTAAATGGAACTACAAAACAAAATATTGTTTCCTAAAAACTCCTAAAGCTTTCTAGCCTTTACACTGGTTGGAAAAGCATGAAGTCCCACCCCAAATTTATGCAATTGGTTAAGCCTGATGTTTATGGCTCAAAGAGAGATATAATGTTTAGTGAAATGTTTAGAAAGAAACCGGAGAGGCCAGAGACTTACCCACAAGCCACTGCACATCCAGAGGGGGCGTAAGCACAGGCCATGACCCACGTGCAGGGCATAGTCACCGCATGCTCCTGTCAAGACATTTAATATATATAAAATATATTAAAAGCATGGTTATTACAGCTAAAATACAAAACCATAAAAATAAATAATGTGTTACTTGAAAATAAAATGAAACTGAAAATAAATAAATAAATAAGCAAACATATTTTATTTCAGCTAAAAGGTAAGGTAATTATTTTCATTAGTTTACCTTGATGTATTAAAATAACTTAAACTAAATAAAAATATGCAGACTTAAGAAAAATAAAACCTAAGACACGTTACAAAAACACACAACAAAATGTTTTACAAATAAAATAAAATGCAGATATAAGAATTAATTCACAACATTAGTAAAAACTATAATAGTATGTAAATTATATTAAAATAACACTGATTATTAGTCAAATGAAATTAAAAATCAATAAGGTTTGAAACAGAAGCTAAATAACAAATTAAACTATACTTTATATAAACATTAGTCAAAAGCATACAGTACATCATTTTATAACAATTATATAGCATGATAAGTAACTAATGTAATAGGGAAACTATGGGGGGAAATGAAAAAGTATAGGATATATCCCTAGAAATCATGGAAATATCACTATTTTGAAGTGTCAGGTTTATTTTACCTTATTTGTTGTAAAGGCATCCCATACAATCACCTTTCCATCCTAAAATACAGAAAAAAATTAAATTATTATTGATAAAAGTATTGCATCAATTGCCAAACTGTCACTGTGAAAGGAAATTACAGTGATATATTTGATGTATGTTTTTATAGACTGACCTGAGATGAGCTGACGATTCTCCTCTTGTCTTTACACCAGTCCATACACAGGACTTTATTTCCATGGCCTTTCAGGGTTCGCCTGGTCTTCATGACAAACTGACCCAAAGCCTCAGTCTTCTCTGCCACTTGATGTACTGATCGAAAAGCCACAACATTTTGTTTATTTCCTGTTTTTATCCTTCATGAACATGCCTGCAGATGCCTACATTACTAAATTTTGCTGGCAGTAATAATTGCTTCTTATCAAACCATTAGTGAAAAAGCCTTAAAAAAAAAAAAAGATAAATAATAAATCAACACACTAACAAAAGGTAATACATTAATAAATGTATATACAATAAAAATACAAATAAATAAAATACATAACAATAAATGTAAAAATCCTAAATAATAATAATAATAATAATTGGATAAAAGCATCTGCTAAATGTCTAAATGTAAATATATAACACAAAATAACTAAATAAAAACAAATACATTTTAAAAAGCTTAAACACTGAATGAAAATTCTCATTATGAAGTCATTTTTAGCAGTGTTACTGTTATTACAGTAATCAAAATATAGCTTAAATCAAATAAAATGTAAATGTTACATTAAAAACTTAGAACCAGAAGTTACTTTGACAACTAAAAAAATAAAACAACAAAAAAACAAAATTAAAAATGACAAAAGCACATAATAAAAACAAACTAAAATTAAAATAAAACTGAAAATATAAAACTAAGAACGGATTCAAAATATTAATACTATAATAGCATATAAAATAACACACATTCTTGTAAAGACTGCCTTGTTTCTCGTAATATCATAATGTGATGCTGAACGGAAAATAAAACCACCACCATCATCATCATCATCATCATCGCCTTAGTGAAACCTGATCAGTTTATCTAAACAGCTGATGGCTTCTTCAATCAGACTGACTGTAAACATCGCGCTACATAACGACAGCTATGATCCTGACATATGTCCTCATTAACACACACACACACACACACACACACACGCTCTTACGCTCGACATCGTGCAGCTTGGCTCTCTCCTCCTCCAGCTTCGTCTTCAGCGTCTCGGATTCGGTTTTGAGCGTCGCCAGAGTGTCGCTGGGCTGCGAGGCCACCTCCTGCGCGGCCATTTCCAGCTGAAACACGAGATTCGCGGAGGAGAGGAGTGTTTTGACGGAGAGAGACGGAGGAGAGGAGTGTTTTGATGGAGAGAGACGGAGGAGAGCCTGGAGACAGAGCGGAGCGGCTACCGCGACGTTATGAAGGACTCTCTCTCT